GACCTGTGAAAAGGGGATTCTTGGAAGGGTGTAGGAAGGTGATAGGTTTAGATGGTTGCTTCCTTAAAGGGCAGTTGAAGGGAGAGATTTTAAGTGCTGTAGGAAGAGATGGCAATAATCAGATGTATCCAATTGCTTGGGCAGTAGTAGAGATAGAAAATACATCTTCATGGACTTGGTTTTTAGAGCTTTTGAGGGAAGATCTCCAGATAACTTACCTTGCTGAATGGACAATTATTAATGACCAACAGAAAGTAAGTGTCCTGACATTCAAAATACTAAATGCTTTCATAAATTGCATTGAATTTTTACTAATTTTAATTTCTTGATGCATTTAGGGTCTGTCCAATGTCATTAGTAGAGTTCTACCTGAGGCTGAGCACATGAACTGTGCCAGGCATATACATGCCAACTGGACAAAAAATCATAGTGGAATGGTGCTTAAGAAGTTGTTCTGTCAGTGTGCCAAGTCCACCTCAGAAGGGCAATTGCAGTCATCTTTGGATGAGTTGGATAAGCTTGACAGACAAGCTGGTGCTGATTTACGCAGGCATCCATTCAAGCTTTGGTGCAAGGCTTACTTTAAGATTGAGGTCAAATGTGATGCAGTAGATAACAACTTATCTGAAGCATTCAACAGTACTCCGGTGCATCTTAGAGACAAACCACTTATACCAATGCTTGAGGGAATGAGAGTGGCAATGATGAAAAGAATAGCTAAGAAAAGGAAGTATGTGAGGAAGTGGCCCGGTAAGTATAGAGAAAAGGCTTTATACCACTCTTCTGACCATCAAATTATGTGTAGTTTTTATTCAATACAACTGCTAAATGAACTATATATTAGTATGTATGTTGTTATCACACATTATAGAAAGAACTGTTATTCTTAACTTCATATTTATACGATGAAGTTAAGTATGTTTGTCAGACCAGTATGACTTTAACACTAACTTCTTGATGTTTGTTATTTAGGTGCATTTGGTCCACTCATAATGAAGAAATTGAACAAAAATATATTAACTGGTCAGGGATGGCATGTTGATTATAATGGTGATGATGGCTATGAGATTAAAAAGGGTAGGTTCCAATACAAGGTCAACCTGAACACAAGATCTTGTGCACGCAGAAGATGGGACCTTTGTGGTATTCCCTGTGCACATGCCATATGTGCAATCCTTGATAAAGTGGATGAACCTGAAAGCTATGTAAACTCCTGCTACAATAAGGATCTCTTTGAAAAGACATATTCCTACACGCTGCCACCAATTAATGGGGAGTTACTGTGGCCAAGAACCCAACATGAAGAAATTCTTCCTCCCATTCCCAAGAAAATGACTGGCCGTCCCAAGAAGAAAAGAGTGAGAGAAGAAACTGAAGCCCCTCCACCATCAATGACTCAACTGACAAGAAAAGGAAGAATCATGAAATGTTCAAACTGTCAAGGGGAAGGTCACAATAGGAAATCTTGTAAAATATCTTCTGCTAGTGGAACAGAACCAAATGAAGGTCATACATTGCCGGGTGAAAGTGGAATAGGTGAAAGGGGTAGACCTAAGAGGGGTGGAAGAGGGGTTTGGAAGAGGAGGAGAGAAGAGACTGACATAGATGAGAGGGGTAGTCTTGAAACTGGGACAGTTCAGGGGGTAGTGTACAAAGTGGAAGTGCTCAGAGAGGGGGAGTTCAAAAGGGCAAAGGACAGAGGGGGAGAGGGAAGAGGGGGTGAGGTAATAGGGGTAAAGGAGAGAGGGGGTTTGAGTTTTTTTTATATGAAAGTACAGGGATGGCTGTATTGGAAGTGAGTAACTTAATTTTGTACTTTTTATATTCAGCATTTGATGTTCTTGTGATATAGACTGAAGAAGTTTTTTTAATGCGTGATTGCAGCCTGGACAAAGAGGAGAAACATTGCTTAGTGGAGGTGGAGGAGAGGAAGCTGAATGACGTGGAATAGGGTGTTGGAAGATTCAGTTATTAACAGTCGTTTTTGGATAAACATTTCGTATGATGTAATGATGTTGGTCATGGTTTAGTATTAATGTAGTTATTGAAAAACCTATCCTATCATGTAATGGTGTTGTTCACTGCAAAAACTTAGGCTATCTGCAGTATTTTGGTTCCTTGAATGGTATTTATGGTGTATGAAGTACTTAATTTATATTCACCAACATGCTTATGAAGTACTGTTTTTTTGGGTGTATGAACTACTGATTTATGTTGTATGAAGTATTGAGTTTGTTGGGTGTTAGATTTGGTTAATGTATATTGACCAACATGGAGATGAAGTACTGGTTTTTGAGGTCCTAGGGTACTGAGTTAAGGGTCCTAGGGTTATTGATAGTCAACAACTTACCAAAATGGATAATTTTTGAAAATCAGTATGGCATTCCAAACTATCAAAAGAGTACTTGTAGTGCAGTGCACTTATTGACCAAAATAATACAACAAGCTCAGTACTCAAATGCCTGTGCACATTGGAAGAAAAGAGTACAACAACTTCTGCATACTAATTCACCTAAACTGTACAAGAAAATGAGTACTGAAATGCGTGTGCATAAGAAATTCAGTTCGGGCACTCTAATTACCTCAGTACTTCAAGAAATATATTGTGCAAGTCATGATCATATACTATACCAGGTAAAAGGTGTGAAGAAATTTATCATAAATAAGTTTCATTCAACAATATTATGCCATTGGAAATCAATAACATCAAGCAACATTCTGCCATTCAAGCACTAGCATACTAAGGCATTACATAAGGAAGAAAGTAAAAGACATTACACATGACCTTGACATTACACAATCCTAGCAGTACAATCACAGTTCACCAAGCCATCACAGTTGACTAACATACTACGCCATTACATCCTCAAATACAAACTAAAAACTAAACCTAGAAGTACAATCATAGCAAATCCATACAACTTTCTACTCTTTTTGTTCACCAAAGCCTCATTGTCAACCACAGTCTGGACACAATCAACAGCAGTGTGTAAATGAGAAATATGTTCACCAATTCCCTCAAGCAACTTTTTCAAATCATCTGAAATTTTGCTCTTAGCTTCAGCCATGACCACTTGTTTCTTCTCTTCAACCTTGACAATGTCTTTCATCTCTACGTCTTCCTTCCATAAGAAAAAACCGCAACTACCAACCTGTTGACATAAACATGTTCATGGTACTTTTAACAATCAAGAAGAACGTATGCAAACAAATAAGGCCTGCCACTGTAATTCAAAACCACAATGCCACATCACACACTAACCTTCCATTTTTGACACCCAAAAAAGCTTCTCCCACTCTCTCGCCCAACACATAGTGGTGCTTTCAATCCACACCAACAATGAACCGCATGCTCGTAGTCAAAGGTACGACTCCGTTCTTTGACAAACGCTGATGATGATGATGAAGACGACATTCTCGCGAAGGCTCCTCAAATGGCTCACATTCGCAGAGATGGAGAATGGAGAAGGAGAAAGATTTGTTTGCTAGGGATTAAATTAGGTCTTAAGGAGTGTTTGGTTATTATTTGGCGATGGGAATATCCACGTAAGCGTTAGTGTGTCGGGTAAGGAGAGGGACACACTGGAGGCCATGTCAGCCATTAACAGGCAAATCGGGAGGCGATTGGCTAAAAAGGCTGATTGGGTGCCTGGGTGGTTTTGCCGAGTACGCGTGTTCAATTGGGTGATTCGGAAGTACGAGGGCTTAATTGAGGATTTGACCAGAATACGGAGTTTTCTCAAAGAAAAAAAGCCAAAAATGTGACCAGGACTTTTGATTAGACAAAAATAGAACTTGTGTTTCATTAAAATACAAAAAAGAGACCCGTTTTTTCTCCAGCCGCACATCTCTTCTCTTCTCAGGCGCATCGCATCTTCATCGCATCGCATATCAGCTCGTCTTCATCTCCTAGCATCTCTTCTCTTCTTTTCGCATATCACCTCGCTTCTGCTGCGCCCTGTCCTTGGAGTCGCCGACCTTTCCCACTACGTCGCCCCAACGAACGTCGCCCCACATGAGAACGGATGGCTACGGTTTCAGATCTACCGCTAAGGTTCAGATCGACTGCCGTGGTGGATGTTGAGGTACATGTTGGTGGCGTCTAGGGTTGTGGGGTAGGGGTATTGCGGTGGTTGGGGAGGTTGGAGAGGGGGGTCAAAGGCTTGGAGTGGTGTCGGAGCCCTAGGGGAAGGGCTGGTGGCTGCTGGGGGGCTGGGAGAGGGGGGGTGGGGGATGGAGGAGGGTGATGGAACGGGGTTGGGGGCTGCTGGGGGCTGGGGGAGGCTGCTTGAGGGGGCTGGGTAGGGGTTGCGGATGGGGCTGGTGGGCGAGGGTGGGCGGTGGTGGTACTGCCGGGGAGGCGGAGGTCATTGTAGGGGCAGTGGAGCTCACCACTGAGGTCATTGGCAGGGTTTGGTCACAGATCATTGGTTAGGTTTGGTCATTGGTCACGGGTCATTGTTTGGGTTTGGTCATTGGTCGGGTTTGGTCACTGGTCGCCGGTCATTGGTTGGGTTTGGTCATTGGTCGAGTTTAGTCACTGGTCGGGTTTGGTCACCGGTTGGGTTGGTCACTGGTCACTGGTCGGATTTGGTCATTGGTCGGGTTTGGTCATTGGTCTGGTTAGGTCATTGGTCGGGTTTGATCACTAGTCAAGTTTGGTCATTGGTCGGGTTAGGTCACTTGTCTAGTTTGATCATTGGTGTAGTTTGATCATTGGTGGGGTTGGTCACTGCTCGGATTAGTCATGGTACTTTTGTCTCATTTTTGAAATTATTTGAAAGTGGTCCTATTTTTGTCTTTGACATTTATTTTTAGTACTGCGGACTAATATTATTTTATGAAAAACCCCTTTGATGAAAGAAGTCAATCACCGTTTGGACTTGCAAAGCTTACTTGTATGTTGGTTCTTGGTTATATAGTCTTCACGACAGCAATTCCTTGACATGTAATTTCATATAATTGTACTAGTGTTCCATTTGGGGATTTTCCAAAGGGGAGGATCATACTTTTTATTAACCTTCATAACATACACAGAAGTCTCAAACGTTTAAAAGTAGGATAAAAAGGGTTTGGTTCCTATTTTCTCTTCCTCACCAAACAAGATAAAGTCTCTCTCTCTCTCTCCATAATTTACCTCTGTATATCTTTCTCCCAAAACATAGTGTAGTTGTTTATGGTCGTGGTAGGACTGGATGGTATTTAGGCAAGGAGCCGAAGGTGGATTTCAACCACTGAATGGACAACCAATAAATTGGTGGACGGTTGCTATTCATTTTGGCAGGTATTAAGTATTAACCACTGACTTTACGCTTAAGTTTATATACAAATTCCGAGATTATTCAGCAATGTATAGGTTCGTTACAGGGTGGATTGCTGCAATTATACAATGGTTGTGTTTGGAGGCCACAGAATTTCAATGGTTATTCTTTTGGGGTTATTTGTTCTGACGGAGAAGACAATCTTGAAAGAAATCCATTCACACTGATTTAGCTTGAAGGTAATGATCTTGGGCATGGAGCCATGGAGGAGGTATTGTATACGCTGGCCACAAAATCTATTTAACAAGTGGGAATATCTGTAGTTGAGCTAGTAGTAATAGTATATGTCCGGTATACTACCTTTGTCCCAAAATACTTTGTCAATTTCAAAACTTTGACCAATTATTATATATATTGGAAATTATTTATAATATAAAATGATATTAAAACGTTTTGTGTTAAAATTATTTTCATAAAAGTATAAAATTTATAACTTTCATAATATTATACTAATAAAAACAATGGTCCAAATTCTATGATTTGATCAAGTATTTTGGATGAATGTACCTTATACTGTTATGCAAAAAAAGCAGCATGTGCCCGGTTTTTAAAATTCCAAAAACCACCATCACAGTCTTTCCATTGCATTGAACAAGAGAGACCGCCACGAGTGATTTTATCAATTGAGTTTTTTTTGCCCAAATAAGTTTGTGTAACTTAACATCACATAAACGGAACATCGAAAATACATTTACTAATAATACTAAATATTTAAAATATTGGAGGATATATGAAGTCATAAAGGTATATACGAATCAAGATGGTTACAAACTGAAAAGAAATGCCTTAAATTCAAGAGCTGTCAGCCTAGTGAGGTACATCTTTAGCATTATGATGTTGGTCATTGGCCCAACATTCTATATTTAATAGCATTGCGACACACATCTCTAATACAATATTTTAGAAGCATATTAAACAAGACACAATAGATATTTAATAGGGATAAACAAATATAACATAACTTACAGGACACAATAGATACTTAGGAGCAAAATTTCCCACGTGTCAAACTCAAGCGACAAATATTTATACTCTTCAACCAAAAGTAAGGCCCAAGTATGGGCGGAAACAACACATGTTGGTCTGTACAAGCAACACCAAAACATTTAATTTCAAACAGTGAACTAACAAGTTCATAACAATTTCGAAAAGATTTACTAGATTTAAAATTTTAAAAAAATCATACAAGGAGGGGAGATATCTAAGACTATCCAACATTTCTTGAGATCACAATGTGTAATTATCACTTTACTACCTTCCCAAACAAAAAAAAATTGTAGATTAGGTGGTTCATCAGTCAACACTAGCAAAACCTTCAAAATTAAAATCCTCAACTAAATTGAAAAGTTAATTGCTTTTGAATCTTTTGTTTGTAGCTGATGTAAAACTCAAACAAAATTCCAGATCTATTTAATGGGGAGAATTGAGTGATTTGCCCTCTAAACAAAGATTGAGTGTCAATATTCTGTCACAGTGGCAAGTGTAGTGTACGTGAAAATCAACCCTTCATTCATACTTATCCTGGTAACATGAATCATGGACAAGGTGCCAACAGTGAAGATACATAGTGATAAACTCTCGTGATATGAAACTTTTTCGACACTTTCCACATGTGTCCATTTCCATAAGTCGTAGTTGGTATGCATATTATTGACAATAATTTTTTACTACTTGTTCGGTTCTAGGATTGTTTCTTTTCTTATTTCTGAATCAAATGATACTCTCCAACAAGTATTAAAGAATTGTTGTCAACAATATGCATACCAACGACTTATGGAGGTGAACACATGTGGAAAGTGTCAAAAAAAGATTTTCATACTAGGAGAGCTTATCACTATGTATCTTCCCTGTTAACACCTTGTACATATTCTTGTTACTATAGCAGATTAGTTTGATTGGAGGGTTAGTTTTCACATGCACTTACACTGTAGTAAGGATATTGACACCAACTCCTTGTTTATAGAGAAAATTCCTTCATTCTTCTCACAAAATAGATTTGAGATTTGTTTGAATTTCATACCAACTGCAAATAAAAGATTTAGAGCAATTGACTTTTCAATTTAATGCAAAAATTAATGATCTTAATTTTGAATGTTTTTACTAGTGTTGGCCCGCCCAATCTACAATTTTATGTTGCTTGGGAATGTAGGAGAGTGATAGTTACAGGTTGTGATCTCAAAACATTGTTGGATAATCTTAGACATTCCCCTCCTTGTATGATTTTTTTAAAATTCTAAATCTAGTGAATCTTTTCTAAATTATTATGAACTTGTTAGCTCACTTGTTTAAAATTAAATATTTCGGCGTTACTTGTATAAATTAGCATGTGATGCTTCTGCCCGTACTTGGGTCTTGCTTTTGGTTGAAGGGAATGCGTGTTTGCCGCTTTGAGTTTGACACGTGGAGGAATTTGCTCATAGGTGTCCATTATATTCGTTATGTTGTATTTGCCTGTTCATATTTTTATTTTATAGAGTTGGTTAATACCTCACAGTGCTATTAAGTATAGAATGTTGAACTAGTTGGCTCACATCACAGTAGAGGCTACTGAGTTAGCAGCTCCTGAATTTGAGGCATTTGATTTCAATTTGTTACCACCTCGATTCTAGTATGCCTTCATATATCTCGTAGTATTTCAAACTTTCAGTATTTTGAGTAAATACATTTTCAATGTTCCGCTTATGTGATGCTAGATTATTCATTAATCTCATTTACGCAAAAGAATCTCAATAGTATATACTATTAGCTCAGCTGCTCAAGTTTCAACTTGTAGCCTTTATTTTTGTTGGGCGCAAATTTGACTTGTGATAACTGACTGATCGACTGGGTCAGGCCCTAAGAAATCATCCCTGAAATGTTTCAGGTTGAATGTTCTGTATTCTTTTTGGTAATCTAATAACTGGTGGTTGAGACTTGTGTTTGAGAACCAAGATTTAGGGTGTGTTTGGGAGTTTGAGGACGAGGGAAGGGAAGGCTTTGAAGGGGAGTAGAGTGAAGTAGGCTTGGACTCGGTTCGGGCCACCCGGCCCGGGAACCGGGTACCGGTTCCGGGTCTAGGCCCGGTTTAGGGGGAGTAATCGGGGCGGGTACGGGTCTGGGAAATATGGAACCGGCCCGGCCGGTTCCGGACGCGGCTTTATTCTTTTTTGTTTTGTTTTGTTTTTTTAATTTTCCGGGTTGGGGCGAGTATTTTGGGCCATTTGGGTTGGTTTGGGGGTGGTGGTGGGGTTTAGGGGTTAATTAGAAAAAGCAATATATATATATATATATATATAAATTGGCCCGAGGCCCGGCCCGGACCCGCTGGCAACCCGGGCCGGTCCCGGGCCTTTCCCTAATCACAAAAGGCCCGACCGGGCCTAGGCCCGGCCCGGCCCCATGCCTAGAGAGAAGGGAAGGGGAGGGGGAAGGGAAGGGATTCCCTCCTGGCCTCCTCTTGTTTAGGAGTTACAAATTTCAAAAGAGAAGGAATTTAGAGGAAATGTAATTAAATGACACATGTACCCTTTCTCATTGTATTAACATTATAGTACATTGGAGGTTATATTTTTTATTGTTTAGATTACTAGTTACTTTGATATTTTCCTTGAAAAATTGCTTCAATATTTACATAGGTTCGTAGATATTGGTTAGCACGCAGCATTCTCAAAACCATTACTTGAGCAAAATTTAGAGTTAATTATCAAAATAGGACTAAAAGTCATTCACTTTGCACAAATAGGACCAAAAAATAAACTATGTTTCCATAGGACTAATTATGTTTGTCTTGGACAAATATACCCTTATACCTATTGGAATGTTTTAATTCATAATAAAATAATAAAAAATAATAAAAATTCATAAAATATACCAAAAAATTAATAAAAATATTCTGAATAATAATAAATTTAAAAAAAAAATTAAAAAAAAATAAAAAAAAAAAATAAAAAAAATTAAAAAAAAAATCAAAAAAATATTTTTTTGTCACCCGCCGCCTATACCGCCCCAGCACCACCACCTCTAGTCATTTGGGGAAAAAATGCCAAATTTATTATGAATTCCATATTTTTGGCATAATTCAGAATGATTTAAGATGGAAGAAAAAAAATGTTGGCATTCTCAAAGAGAAATATGCCATATTTTTGGCATTTTCCGAAAAAAATGGAAGTTTGTAGGAAATATGACATTTTTTTTAACGGTCGGAGGTGGTGGTGCAGGGAGGCGGTACCACCACCTCCTGTCACCGGGGTAAAAAAATGCCAAAAAAATTATGAATGCCATATTTTTGACAAAAGTCAAAAGGATTCAAGTTGGCAGAATGAAAATGTTGGCATTCTCATAGAGAAATATGCCATTTTTGTGGAATTTAAAAAAAAAGTGGCATTTTTTACACCGATCGGAGGTGGTGGTTCAGGGAGGTAGTACAGGCGGTGGGAAACGTATCCATATTTTTTTTAATTTTTTTTATGGAGTTTTACTATTTTTTTATTAATTTTTAAAAAAAAAAATTAAAAAATTTTTTTTTTCTTATTTTTTATTTTATAAAAATTTTATTAATTTTTTTATTATTTTTCTACGAATTATTGAAATTTTTTCGAATTTATTATGAATTAAACATTTAATTATGACTTTTAGCTATCTTTTACTAATATTTAAATGAGGGGTAAGAATGGAAGGAAGAAATGAGTATGTTTCCAATAGGACCACTATGGTCCTATTTTGGAAAAAAAAACATAACAAGTCCTATTTTGAGTTTTTGCCATAGTTTTAGTCCTATTTGAAGTAATTTCTACAAAATTTACACCTGATCCGCATTTGACCCAAAAGCTTCTGGTTTTCCCGGGTTTACATACAGTAATGGGTTTGCAGTTTGCACTCAATCGGACCAGGTTTGCAGTTTGCACTCAATCGGACCAGGTTTGCAGTTTGCACTCAACCAGACCGGTTTCTGGGCCGGGTGACTGGGTTCCAGGTCCAGTCCGGATCTCATTACATAGGTTTGTAGATATTGGTTAGCACAAAGCATTCTCTAAACCATTACTCTTAAAAAAGCTAAAATTAGTGTTTTCAAGAGACAACTTCTACTTAAAAAGTGCTTCTCGGGTTTTGGGTGAAGTGTTTTTTTACCTTTTCTATTACTCAAAAAACACTTATTTTACCAAACGCTACCAACTTTTACTTTTTTAATATCAATTTTTTCTCAAACACTATCAACTTTTACTATTAATCATTTTTTTCCAAAATCACTTCAAAAAGTGCTTTTTGTAAAACAAAAGCATTTGCAAACACTCCTTGAGTTGAGCCCCTTGCTATGTTGTTTTGGAAGAATTGGGCTTTTTGGTTCCAATTTTGACTTTTGAAATTATACAAATTGAGGGAGAAGAATTCTCAAATTGGTGACTTGAAATTATACCAATTTACTTTTATTTGATGGCTTCCTTAAAAAAGCTAGATACATCTCTAACTATTATGAATATTACTCCTAAGGTCATGAGTCATAATATATATATTTTTTGAATTTTTTTATTTTTTCAAATTTTATAGATCTTTTATTTTTTTAATTTTAATTTTTTTGATTTTTTAATTTTTTAATTTTTTAAGATTTTTTATTTTTTTACATTTTTTTATATTGTACTACCTCTGTCCCAAAAATTTTTGCCATTTTCAAAACTTTGACCAATTATATCTTTTTATTGGAAATTATTTTTAATATAAAAATTATATGAAAATATTCTTTGTTAAAAATACTTTCATACAAGTATAAAATTATTAACTTCCATGATATTATACTACTCAAAATCAAGGTTCAATTTTTTTGAAATGGCAAAGTTTTTCGTGACGGAGGTAGTAACATTTTGTCCATTCACGTAGAAGAAAAATGTAGATAGTTTGTCGTTATCAACACGTTTCTTCCGAAATATCCCGATTTGGTGGGTTGATAATGGAAGTGGAGGATTTTGGAAGCCTTCGATTTTCCTTCCTTTCCCCCCTATTCCTTTCAACCAAGCACACACAAATCACCCCCCGACCCCCCCCCCCCCATTCCTTTCAGCCAAGCACACACAAATCACCCACCACCCTACCCCGCCCCCTTCCCTCCGAAATCCTCCAACCAAACAGAGTCTTAAGCAACTTGTTAGGGCTAGGTGAAATCAATTTCATTTTTCCAGGTAAATTCACTCCTTTTATGATTTGTGGGAGAAGAATGCATTGACTCAATGAGTGATGGCTTTTTTTATAGTGAACTACAGGGAAGATTATATTGATGCTGTCAATTTATACTAAACTATACTAAAGCTGTCAAATTGGGAAATTTTTAGTAATGTATTTGATCTTTTACTTGTCAACGAGTATCTGAAATTGTTATTTTTGGGCTTTATCATTTCTTATCACTGATGAGGTAGGTTTTCATCACAAAATCTGGACAAATAGTGCTTATTTGAGTTATTTTTTCTGATCTTTTGATTGGTCTGGGAACTAAATATAGAAAATATTGTTGGTGTTTTAAAGTTTGAAAATTTTGATTAGAAGCTAATGTGCTGTCTGGCTCTTCCTAATAGGGAAAATTGCCGAGTATAGAACGGGTTAAAAATGAATTCCGTAATGTAGACCTATGTTTCTTGACTCATATTAAGGACATAAACGTGTCATGCTACCTAGTGGTGGACCGCGCCTGGTTTGGGCCTAGACCCGGCCGGGCCTGGAAGGTTTAGAGTTAGGCCCGGGACCGGCCCGGTTGGCTATCGGTTCCGGGCCGGGCCTGTTATTTTTTTTTGTTTTATTATTTATTTCATACCCCTACCCCCCTGCCCCCCCTAACCCCCAAACCCCTCGGAATCACCCAGTCCAAAGCCAAAAAAAGACGCCCGAACTGGCCGGGCGGATTCATCACTTCCTTGTGGATATATGACTTAAACATATATATGACCGGTCCGGAACCGGCCGGGCCGATTTTGGGACAAAAGGACCGGGTCGGGCCGGGCCCGCAAAGTAGGCCTGCTTGGGTCGGTCGGACCGGAACCGGCCGGGACCGATACTGTTTGTACCTGACCCGGCCCGGGAACCGGTCAGGTGGACGGTTCGGGGCTAATCAGCCCAGTAGGTAGGCGGTCCGGGCTCGGGCCCTGCAAATGACGAATCGGCTGGATCGGGCCCGGTCCGGGCCTCAACGGCTATTTAAATTAAAGAATGCTCCCTAGTCGTTAGGAATAATCCCAAACGGCTCTATAGCCGTTGGAGGGGGAGGGGGGGGGGTTAGGGGTGGGGGTGGGGGGTACCAAAAAAATCCTATTTATACTTCTAAAATCCTATTTATACTCCTATTTTCTCTAGATTTTTTACACCATCTTCATACAATCATACTCTCTAATTTTCTATTCTCTCATTTTCAATCATCTCCATCTTCATCTTCTACAAATCTCTCTACATATATATATATACAAGAATGATCCTGTCTGAACGTTCGGACAGGATCCTCTGTCCGAACATCCCCGTTTGGGGCCCTTCCCGGTGGAATTTTTTGATGAAATTTTTTGAGCATGTTCCTCATCAAGTCTAGTTTGTCCATACCAAATTTCAGCTCAAAATTCGATCGGGAAGGCATTCAAATCATTTTTTGAAGTTGACTGCGTTTTTATATGTATATTTTGACGCAGTCAACTTCAAAAAATCATTTGAATGCCTTCCCGATCTAATTTTGAGCTGAAATTTGGTATGGACAAACTAGACTTGATAAGGAACATGCTCAAAAAATTGCATCAAAACATTCCACCGGGAAGGACCCCAAATGGGGATGTTCGGACGGTGTTCGGACGGGGAATGTTCGGACCTGAACATTCCTCTATATATATATATATATATATTATAATTATTATATCTATTTATACATTAATTATCTACTTATATACATATATTATATTACTAATATTTATTATCTACTTTATATGTACTTATTATCTACTTGTACATCTCCATCTTTTTAATATTTACTTTGATATCTACTTATTATCTATATTTATTGTTATTTACTTATATATATTAAAGTATTATATATAAGTGTATTACTCATCTTATAGTAATATACTTATATACTTATACTATAAACATTATATTATATATTAGTTATACATGTATCTACTTATATACATATATTATATTACTAATATTTATTATCTACTTAATATATACTTATTATCTACTTATACATCTCCATCTTTTTAATATTTACTTTGATATCTACTTATTATCTATATTTATTATTATTTACTTATATATATTAAAGTATATTACTCATCTTGTAGTAATATACTTATATATTATATACTATAAACATTATATTATATATTAGTTATACAATTATCTACTTATATTATATTACTAATATTTATTATCTACTTAATATATACTTATTATCTACTTATACATCTCCATCTTTTTAATTTTTGCTTTGATATCTACTTATATCTATATTTATTGTTATTTACTTATATATATTAGAGCATTATATATAAGTGTATTAATCATCTTATAGTAATATACTTATATATCATATACTATAAACATTATATTATATATTAGTTATACAATTATATTAGTTACACTTGAATTCATAGTAATTAAATTCATTGTATTAGTTAATTTTTACATTTCTCATTATCCTAATTTAGTTAATTAATACTTGTCCCGTTTCTTCTATTAGTTAATTCATCGTTTTTCTATTCATAGTAATTAAATTCATCGTATTGTTACATTTTTCATTTCCCTATTAGTTAATTTGTTAATTGTTGCATTTATCATAAAAGTATAAAATTAGTTAATTGTTACATTTTTCATTAAGTATAAAACTAGTTAATTGTTACATTTTTCATTTCCCTATTAGTTAATTTGTTAATTGTTGCATTTATCATAAAAGTATAAAACTAGTTAATTGTTACATTTTTCATTAAAGTATAAAACTAGTTAATTGTGACGTTTTTCATTTCCCTATCAGTTAATTTGTTAATTTTTGCATTTATCATAACAGTATAAAACTAGTTAATTGTTACATTTTTCATTAAAGTATAAAACTAGTTAATTGTGACGTTTTTCATTTCCCTATTAGTTAATTTGTTAATTTTTGCATTTATCATAACAGTATAAAACTAGTTAATTGTTACATTTTTCACTTCCCTATTATTTAATTTGTTAATTGTTGCATTTATCATAAAAGTAGAAAACTAGTTAATTGTTAATTGTTGCATTAAAGTTTAAAACTAGTTAATTTTATTAGCAAGTGGATTCTTGGAAATTTGCTATAATTTTATTAGTTGCATTTTATTATTACTATTGTACTTATATTAAAACATTTGATATAATATATATTTGTTACATTTTAAAGATGGACCGTGGTAGACATTCCGTAGATATGGGTAATCTCCAACGCAATCGAAGAAAGGAGATTGCGACAACTCATCCTAGTTTACGCAAAGACAAGGGTAAAGGGCGGGCCGGGTCTTCTTTTCAAAGTCGAGAAGATTTTGAAACGGAGTACCAAATGCGAGATGAGGATGCGATGTCCGACGAGCAACTACAACAACTATTGGCGCAAAATGATGGTCGCTTTTTCCATCAACAAAACATCCCGGAGTCCATTGATGAAGATGAGCTCGAGGATGAGGATGCGGAGGAGGACGCGGGGGGCAACGGCAGTCACGGCATCCCGGATGATGGACGAGGGTGGTTCATCCCAAGTTGGTAAGAAATCTAAATCTCCTATTATAGAAAATAATTTTACAAAGAGGAAAGACAAAACAACCGATAAATGATACGCAAGTTGCAATCATTGCAAGGAGTATAGCTTGGGAACTTCCGGCGGATACGGGAGCCTCAAAAGGCATCTTAAGTCCGCGCACTCTGTGGAGTATGCGAAAATAGACAAAGGCAAGGGGAAACAAACTCAAATATCGAGGTTTGCAAATGACCAACCTTTTGGTAATTTCTCATACAATGATGCACAAAATTTGACTGGTATGATTAACTTAATTGTTGAAGAAAATTTGTCTTATTTGTTTTCTGAAAGTCTTGCTTTTAAAGATTATGCACAAATTTATTTAAATCCTCAATTTAGAGCTTATAGTCGCAAAACGATTAAGAAAGAAATTATAAGGCTTTATCGTGCGGAAAAGGATAGGTTACAAATGTTTTTTGCAAACTTTGATGGCTGTGTTACTATTTGTTCTGACATTTGGGAGGATACTTATCATCATTTACATTATTTGGGTCTGACTGCACATTTTATTGATAATGATTGGAATTTGCATAAACGTGTTCTTGCTTTTCGTGAATTTAATGATCGTCACACCGCTGAACATATTTATATTTTGATTGAATGTATTTTAAATGAGTATAATTTGATTGATAAGGTGTTTGCTATAGGTTTTGATAATGCTAGTAATAATACTGCTGTTATACCTAGATTGCATGAATTGTGTGGTTCTAATACTTTGATGGGTAGATTTTTTCATCAACGGTGTGCATGCCATGTTATAAATTTATGTGTGTAAGACGGTCTAAAAGCGTTAGGAGATGCTATGGAGGTAGTCAAGAGAGGGATTAAATGTATTTGGGGGTAATGGTCAACTTAAATTAAAATGGAAAAATTATTTGATTGAAAGAGGTGTGAAATATGTTGCTTTTCCTAAACATTTATCTATTCGTTAGAATAGTACTTATTAATTAATTAAAGTTCTTCTTAGATATAAAGAATATTTTCCTACTTTTTTAAGACAATATGATAACTACTCTGTATATTTTAAACTCCGCTAACATTGACACTTGCGAAAAATTTTGTAATGTTTTGATATTTTATAACAATCCAACTGAAAGTTTTGGTCATGTTTAGAAACCTACTTCAAACGAATTTATTCGTGAAGTTGTTAATCTCGTCGGTGCTTTTAATGAATTTGAGAATGCCACCTACGTGAGTTATTTTTGTGGTTTTATGAAGGAATTTTTTTAAAAATATTATGCACAATTCTTGTGACTCGGCCCGAACCGGCACCGGGCGAAGGATGGGCCGGTCCCGGGCCTCCCATTCCAGAACCGGAGGCCGACCGAGCCTGACCCGGAAGCGGGCCGGGCGGCCCAAACCGGGTCCAAGACTACTTATGTGCTAGCGTGTTTCGAACTCATGAACTAAACCCAATCAATACTTTTTACTCAATACTTTTTACCCTAAGCTCTGTGTTTTATTTCATCTATCACAATGTGTAATACCGAGTAGGTAGTAACCTTATAAACTAGGTTGCACAATGTAACACTTGAGATTTAATTTAAATGGATTATTAATAGTATTACTCATACCAACAACATGTATCTCCTTTTAATGGAGCTCATCCGCTAAAAACTCCAAAGTTAAGCGTGCTTGCACGGAAGTAGTCTTGGGATTATGAATGGATCCGGGTCGGGCCGGTTCCGGTTCGCACCTGAGCCCGTTCGGGCCTTGGTTTGGGAAAATGGGAACCGGAACCGGCCCGGGTGGCTGGCGGTTCCAGGCCGGGCCGGGCCACCCGGCGGTTTACTGGGCCGGGCCGGGTGGGTTCCTGGCTTTTTAATTTTTTTTATTCTTGAATTGATGTACACAATAATATAAAAAATTCAAGTATATTTATTTCAAATAAGTACAACTGAGAATTAGGATGAATTTAATAAATGTATTAAATTTTGTAATAAATAATCAATCGGAATCTCTGCCTTCGGTCATTTCTTGAGTTCTTCGTTGAGCCTTCAACCACTCGTGGAAGCAAATTGGCGTCTCAAGAGAGCTCGGGCTCAACCTCATTCTATAATCGGTTAGGACGTTGCCGGCCGCACTAAATTGTTGTTCTACGGCAACTTTTCTACGGGAACGTTCTTTCATTTTCCTTCCACTACTTAAGAATGTCAAAGTCATTCCCAACTTCATAATCAACATTCAATGTTAGATACAAAAAAAGCTCGTTAACTGAGCTTTGTACAGTAGCGGGAGTTGCTCTACTTTTTTTCAAAAGAGAACCAAACACAGATTTTAAAAGTGATTTTCCTTTAGATGAAGAAGATGTTCACGGCATGAGAGGGGGTGTATTACCATATTGTGCATAAAATTCCTTATAGAATTGATGAAATAAATTACTAACCTTGTTGAATTCTTGTTTAGGGTTTATGGGATTATCATCGAACTCTTGAGTTAGAAAAAAAGAAGCATAATAGTAATCTATACAAGTTCCCAAGTAAGCAAGTTTATAATGAGGATCAAGAACAAATGCAATACCATATATATGCGGAGTATGTGAATAATATTTTAAAAACTTTTGTTTCATGAAAATAACTAATGTAAGCGGCATCGGCAAATTCACAAAAAGCGCCGGCGAGATTAATAGTTTCAACAAAAAATTCGTTTGCGGTAGGTTTATAAACATGACTAAAAGTTTGAGTTGCATTATTAAAATATACCAAAACATTAACAATTTTTTCACCGATGTCAGTCAGGTTTATAATATAGTTACAAGATTGTCTTGAAAAAGCAGGAAAATGATCTTTATATTTAATAAATACTTTAATTCAGTTATAAGTACTATTCCAACGAATAGACAAATCTTTAGAAAAAGCACAATAATTGACACGTCTATCCTTCAAATATTGCCGTCATTGCATTTTTAGTGGAGTATTACCCAAATCATTTTAATTCTCCCTTCACTACCTCCAAAACATTTCCTAATGCCGCTAACCCATCTTGTACACACAAATTTAGAATATGACATGCACAACGTTGATGAAAAACCTACCCATCAATGTTGAAGCACCACACAATTCACACAATCTAGGTATAGCAGCAGTATTATTACTATCATTATCAAAACTTACAGCAAACACCTTATCAATCAAATTATACTCAATTAAAATATGCTCAATGACTATCCTTGAATTCACGAAAAGCAAGAACACGTTTATGCATATTCCAATCATCATCAATATAATGTGCAGTAAGACCCAAATAATATAAATGATGATAAGTATCCTCCCATATATCGCTACAAATACTAACACATCCATCAAAGTTTGCGAAAAATGTTTGTAATTTTTCTTTTTCCAAGTTATATTGCCTTGTAGCTTCTTTTTTAATCGTTTTGCGACTATAATTTCTAAATTGAGGATTTAAAGTACCTTGAACATAATCTCTTAAAGCAAGACTTTGGGAAAAAATATAGGGTAAATTTTCTTCAACAATTAAATGAGACATACCAGTCAAATGTTTTTGATCATCATCGTAGAAATTACCAAAAGATTGAGAATTTGCAAACCTTGATATTTGTGTTTGCTTCCCCTTGCCTTTGTCTATTTTCGCATACTCCACAAAGTGTGCGGACTTAAGATGCCTTGTCAGACTCCCGTATCCGCCAGAAGTTCCCAAGCTATACTCTTTGTTGCAATGATTGCAACTTGCGTACCATTTATCGGTATTTTTGTCTTTCATTTTTGTAAAGTTGTTTTCAATAATAGGAGATTTAGATTTCTTACCAATTTGGGATGAAACCCCCTCGTCCTCCAACTCTTGCTCATCATCTGGGGTGCCGTCGCCCCCCTGCCCTTCGTCCTCCTCCCCATCCTCGAGCTCATCTTCGTCAATGGTTGTCGGGAATTGTTGTTCTTGTGCAAAGCGTGGATCATTTTGGGACAATAGGTTTTGTAGTTGCTCGTCGGGCATCACCATATCATCTCTCCATTGGTAATCCGTTTCAAAATCATCTCGACTTTGAAAAGAAGACTCGGCCCGCGCTTTACCTTTGCGTGAAGTAGGACGAGTCGCCGTAATCTCCCTCTTGCGGTTGCGTTGGAGATTACCCATATCTACAAAATGTCTACCACGGCTCATCTTTAAAATTGAACAAACATCAAATGATATCAAATATTTTATATGAGTACAATAGTAATAATAAAATGTGACTAAGAAAACTATAGGAAATTCGAACTAAAATATGAGTATATCAAATGTAACAATTTTTTTCCTTGAAAAAAAATCGAACTACTTCTAATTAATACTTTAATGAGAAATGTAGCAATTAACTAATATTAATATGAGAAATGTAACAATTAACTAGTTTTTTTACTTTAATGAGAAATGTACCAATTAACTAATATTCATATGACAAATGTAAAAATTAACTAGTTTTTGTACTTTAATGACAAATATAACAATTAACTAGTTTTTTTACTTTAATGCGAAATGTACCAATTAACTAATATTAATATGAAAAATGCAACCATTAACTAGTTTTTTTACTTTAATGCGAAATGTACCAATTAACTAATATTAATATTAGGCCTGGACTCGGGCCGGGCGGCCCGACCCGGAACCGGCCCGGCCCGGCCACTGTAGCAACCGGCCCGGCCCGGTGGCCCGGTTCACCGGCGGTTCGGGTCGAACCGGCCCGGTGGTTCCCGGTTCCGGGCCCGGGCCTTCCATATGGTGAACCGGCCCGGCCGGTTCGGGCCCGGTCCGGGCCGGAAATAATTTTTTTTTTATTTTTTTTTGAAAATTTTTTATGTTTTGGGTTAGATTAGGTATTTTGGTCCATTTGAGGTGGTTTGGGGTGGTTTGGGGTTGAGAAAGAGGGGTAGGGGATTAAATAAAGAAGCCAAAAAACAAAAAACAAAAAAAATAGGGCGGGTGGCCCGGCCCGGAACCGGCCCGGTCTGGCCCGGAACCGGCCCGGAACCGGCCACCCCCGGTTCGGGCTCGGGCCTCAATATTCTGAACCGAGGCCCGGCCGGGCCCAGGCCCGAGGCCCGAACCGGCCCGGTTCAGTCCACCCCTAATTAATATGACAAATGTAACAACTAACTAGTTTTTTTTCTTTAATGAGAAATGTACTAAATAACTAATATTAATATGAAAAATGTAACAATTAACTAGTTTTTTTACTTTAATGTGAATTGTACCAGTTAACTAATATTAATATGAAAAATGTAACAATTAACTAGTTTTTTTACTTTAATGCGAAATGTACTAGTTAACTAATATTAATATGAAAAATGTAACAATTAACTAGTTTTTTTAACTTTAATGAGAAATGTACCAATTAACTAATAGGAAAATGAAAAATGTAACAATTAACTACTCTTTGTAGTTTAAAGATAAATGTGGAAAAATGAACTAATATTAATATGAGATATGTAACAAGTAACTAATTTTTTTTTTTCTTTAAAGAGAAATGTAACAATTAACTAATTTAATAGATAAATGAGAAGTCTAACAATTAACTACTTTTATAAAATGTATGAATGTGTATAAGTATATATAGTTTATATAATGTGTAAATGTATTATAAGTAATATATAATATAATGTTTATAGTATATAATATATAAGTATATTACGATAAGATGAGTAATACACTTATACTTAATACTTTAATATATATAAGTATATATTAACTAAATGTAATATGTAAATATAAGCAAAAACAATAGTATGGATAATAACTAAATATCAAGTAAATATGAATGTGTATAAGTATATATAGTATATATAATGTGTAAAGAATTATAATATGAATGTGTATATATATATATGTGTGTGTGTGTGTGTATATTTATAAGTAGATAATTAATATATAAGTAGATATAATAATTATATAAATAATATATATGTAGAAAAAATTTGGAGAAGATGAAGAATGAAGATGATTGAATATGAGAGAATAGAGAATTAGAGAGTAGGAAGAGTTGTAGAAGAAGAGGTGTAAAAAATGTATATAAAATAGGAGTATAAATAGTTTTTTTTGTATACCCCACCTCCCAAACCCCCCAGACCCCCCTCTTATGCCCCCAACGGCTATAGAGCCGTTTGGGACTAGTCCCAACGGCTAGAAGCCTTTAAATATTATTAAAAAAATGGCCGCCGTTGTGGCCCGAACCGGGCCCGGCCGGGCCGGTTCACCTTTCTGCAGGCCCGAGCCCGGACCGCTTTAAGACGGGTCGGTTGGCCCGAATCGGCACCTTGACCAGTTACCTTGCCGGGCCGAGTACAAACAGTCCCGGTCCGGGCCGGTTGACCCGACCCGAGTCCACCCATACTTGGGATGGGTGACCCCCTGGAAAGTTTCTCAGGGCGCCCACGAGTGAGGACAAAGTGAGCGGAAAAGGCTAGTGACGGTTTGTGAGGATAGTACTAGAGGCCTTGAGGGTGTGTGTGAGTAACTATTTTGGGTCCTGCGAGGGCGGGGTGTTACACATACAATTTAAGAACGCGTTTGTAACTCTGTTTTTCGGTTTATTAGGCTTATTAGCGAACTTTTTAATCGAACACCTAATTTTTTATTTTCCTTGTTGAATTGTTTTAACAATAAAATACATTTTAAAAATAATTTTTCATAAATTAGCAGAATCAGCCAATATAATCACTCTAGTCAGAATTTCATCAGAATCAGTCGATTCAGTGTTACCGAATGAGCTCTAAATCATACACAAGTCTAAAATTTATATTTTTATATAACATCATAATTGCTTGAATATGTATTGATTTTACTGTTTTGAATTATTATGCATTTCATAGGACATGCCTTATCATATATTTTTCATTAAGGGGTGTTGTCTAGGAGGATGTACATGACTTTTTCGATATATGAATGAGGTGATGACAATATGTTCAACACTGAAGTACAAGAGGAAGACGGGGACATTGGAGAAGAAACAATGAAACATATGACGTATATGGTATAATGGGGTACCGAGAGTCTACTATATATGACAAATTTACGGGATGAAGTTGCTAATAGACTAGTTAGAAATTTTTATCATGTAACTGGCTCTTTTATTTAAGTAATTCAAAATATAATGTTTTCTAGACATGTGACATTATCATTCACAACAAGGAAAAGAAACAGACAGTATACATTTAGTGTTTCTTCTAGACATGAGGGTTATCTGGTCATTTAACATAATTCAAATATCTCATTCCGCAAACATAGTAACCAATTTGCCATATTAGTGTCACTTAATCCAGCTAGACATCTTAATTTAGACAGACGTCTTAATTTATTAAGAGCTTAATGAAAAAAGGTAAACTGTACCTAAACTGTACTACGTAACATTTTACTACATTCGTCCCACTATGTTTGAGACAATTCGGTTTACGCTGCTTGACTGGTGATAAAGCAAACTGATCTCTGTCCGCACTCAAATTATTTATAGAAAAAATAAATTACATATTCAGAAACAACATTAAAAACTTTACAAAGTCGCAAAAACCAGAATCAAATTTGATAAAAATTTGATCTATAAAGTAAGAGGTTAAGAGCGATTTGTGTTGACCAAGTGAATAGTGTTTGGGATAATCTTAGCGGGACGGAGGGAGTAGTATGTAGCTCTTATCTGTAGTAAGATAGAAGAGAAAATTATTAGGAGTATGACCAAAAGATGTGGTAATTCAAAAATGAACTTTGTACTCCTAAATTAATGATGTTTTATGTGTGTATATGTGTTTAAGTTAGGGGTGAGTTCGGTTCAAACGGTTCAGTTTTCACCTAAAACCAAATGCCGAACCAAAGTAAAAAGTTTGGTTCGGTTCGATTTTATGCTCAAAAATTTGGAACCACGATTTGTTCGGTTCGGTTTATTTTGGTTCGATTTCGATTTTTCGGTTTTTACCAAAGTATGTGTGTTGATTAGAAAAGTAGTAATTAGAAAACAGAAACAAAACAATACAGTACATCAAACTATTATTAATAGTAATGCAATAAAAACATACATAATTAAAAGAAAGAAGAAATAAATGTACTTCTAAATAATGAATTAGAAAGTACGTGTATACCAATTTAAACATTTTCTAAACTAATTAAACACATGAGTTTATTTGTGAATTATATACAATGTATTCGTAAGTTAAAATTTTATTAGTAAATAACTTATTCTACTTTCTTTTATTCAAAGATATTTTTGCTCGAAAGTTTCACATTTTTTGCTATGTTATTTAAAGTATAGTTTATATTAATATATATCTATTCAATATAAAAATTAGGTGGTAACAAGCATACATATAATATATCAACAAAATATCTTTGTCATATATGCAACAACAAGCAAAAATGCAAAATGTAAATTACGATTTAAAATATCAACATATTAGTATTATAGCAATAGATTTAAGTGTGTGTACATGTGTTTTACTTAATTAAACCATAAATATTAAATTTTAATATCTTGGAAATCATAATAAATCTGGTATCAAACATTATTTTTCTAGAATTAAGAATTAAGAACTAAATAAAATATCATACTTAATTATTCATAAAGTAACAAGTTTTTAAAAGTTCAGTTCGGTTTTGAGATGTGAAAACACAAATTGAAACCAAACAACTCCGGTTCGGTTCGATTTTTTGAGTTTGGTTTCAGTTTTCTTACGGTTCGGTTGTTTTGGTTGCAGTTCGGGTTTTTTCGATTCAGTTTTCGGTTTTCGGTTTCTGTGACCCACTTCTAGTCAGATACGTATTAAAAATCTATGAATGGTTTAGTCACATTTTGGTAAACTTCTCATGTCTACCCTACTATCAACTGTATCAAGTCTTTTCCGCCAAGTCTTCCACGTTCATCTTCGTGTAATCAATTACCTTATTAGTACCCACACTTTGGGGGTGTTTGGCAATCAGCTGTTGGCTGTTGGCTGTTGGCCGATTCTGTTGGCTGATTGGTGATAGCGGATTCTGTTAGCTGTTTTGATTAGCGGATTGTATTAGTTATTTATAAAACAATGTTTGGTTAAATGGCTGTTTGAAATTGGCTGATAATTTGTTAAATGACTTTTAAGGACATTTGAATTAATTTATTTTATCTACTAACCACTTTTATATACGTATTAAACATTTTGCTAACAAAATTGACATTCAACTTATGCTCAAGCGGCAGAAATTTAAAGAAACTTTACAGACTCATAGAGCAGGGGCGGACCTTCTTTATGCAGGGGTGTTCATGTGAACACCCAAAATTTTGAAAAGTAAGTGTAAAAAAACATATATATAATTGATGTAATAATTTATATATTGTGCTATTAGATGACATCTTAATGGTAAAGTAATTTCGAACACCCAACATTTAGTTGCAAGATCCGCCACTGTCATAGAGGCGCATAAAAAAGAATATTACATTTAACTTACTTTCTTGAACAGAAACATAAGGTGCATGATTTTATCAAATATGTTCAAAAGATGACAAGGTAGGAAATTTTTTACAGCAAGGTGCAGCAATTCTCACAGCAAAACTTAAGATGCAATTAAACAAAAGATGAGAAAAAATATTATGTTCCAATAATCAGTCAGAGCAAAGAATCCAAAGCAGTTAGAAGTTAACAATCAATCATCACATCTTGAACTTTCCATGTTCCTGTTATTTTGATGCATATATATACATGTGTGTGTATCCCTTAAGTTTGATGACCGTTTACCCATTATGTGTGAGAGAAAAGATGATTGTTGCTTGAAAGTTATTGGATATTGTTTGGAAAATAGTTAAACATTGAGTTTTAACACCCCATTACGTATGAGGCAGGGAGAATCATGTGCTTATAATGGCTCTCCAAGCTACCGGGTCTCTTTCAGGGAGAGAGATACAGAGCATATGAAGCATAGTGGAGTTAAAGACCTATGGAATCTCCCGTCTTAAACATCAAAACAACGGTTTTATTTTTTTTGTCTCAAAGTTACTTATTTGTCATGTTTAAACAGAAAATCCAAACGAAAATTAATTTGATAAAAGAAGAATACCTTGGCGGACAAACCCAGATAGTTTGTTGTAGGATACTAGGATAAGAGATGATGTGGAAGAGGTTGGCAGAGCTTCACCTCCGCGTTTTCTTTTAGGCTTGGGTTGTGGAAGACGAAAAGAATACGGAGGGAGACAGTACGGGTAAGAACATAAGACCTATTCTAGGAATATTCAATAAATTTTTGAACGGCTAAAGCCAAAACGTTAGGTTTTTCAGCTTTTCTTATTTTGGCCGTTCAGAATCAACAGCCAAGGGAAAAAGCCATTAACCAAACAGTCATACTCTAGTCAAAAGGCCAAGTATTGGTCAAAACAGCTAAAAATCAGCTGTTACGGGTGTTACCAAACACCCCCTTTATGTTTGTGACACTTTTTATTGGATAAAGCCATTTGTACACGCTTGTGTACATACATAATTGTGACTATAAAAAGAAAAAATGGCAAATATAGTACCTGGGAGTTTGGAGTGGACAAAAAAGGGGACCACACCTTTCTTTAGCCAAAAAAGAGATGGATATGCAATTGAAAGACTAAAATACCCCTACAACAAAAATTAAAAAAATGGATCTGGACAACATTGCTAATTCGCTCCTGCTCTCTACTTTCTATTGCGTCGCGTGAAGAAGACTTCGGCCATCGCCGCCCAATGTACACCGCCACAAGGTCTCAACATCGCCACCCAGCGTACGCCGCATATTTCCCCTGTCGCACACCGCCTCCTTTCTCCGTCGTACGCCGCTTCTGCCTACCTCTTCTTTTCTTCGTTTTCTGTCCGATTTTGGGGATGCGAGTGACGACGCCTGTAATCCTTAGATACGACGGCGGTGCTTGGAGGTTAGTTAGGGTGACAGGTTGCGACGAGACAAGCATATAGAAAGTGGTGCGGTGGATAGGGTTTATTATGTGGCGGCGCGGCGGCTGGGGAAGGATTAGGGCGGAGGATGGGGAAGGGGAGCGTGGGTGAGGATTGGAGTGGGGGCAGCGACGGTGTTGCGGGGCTGTGGGAGTGGCATGACAGTGGTGGTGCACAAATTGGGGTAAGGGGGCTGGAGATGGGGGAAGCTGGACCTGGGGCAGAGGAGGGGGCTTGTACTGGGGAGGGGGCTAGTGTTGGGGAGGGGGCTGGTGCTGGGGAGGGGGCTGGAGCAATGGAGGGGGTGGGGCAGGGGAGAAGGCTGGCTGTCATCGGGCTCGGCAGTGGTCAGGGGCGGTGGTACGTGGTGATGGTGGTGGTAGAGGCAGTGGGTTCGGGGCGGCGGTGGTCGCATTGGTCAATGATTGAATTGGTCATGGTCGTTAATATTGGGTTGATCGCCGGTCGGATTGGGCATGATCGGATTGGTCACTGGTCGGTTTTGTCACGATCGTTAATCAGGTTGGTCATTGGTTGGATTGGTCATAGTCAGTGATCGGGTTGGTCACTGGGTGAATTGGTCATGGTCACTAGGTGGATTGGTCATGGTCACTAGTCAGGTTTTGGTCACTGAAGAATTTTTAAATTTTTGGTCACAAATGATTTTTGGTTACTAATGATTTTGGTCACTGGCGGATTTTTGGATTTTTGGTCACAAATGATTTTTGGCCACTGGATGGATTGGTCATGGTCACTAGTCGGATTGGTCACTGATCATTGGACGGGTTGACGTTGGTAACTATGTAGAATTTTTGGTCACTAATGATTTTGGTCACTAACAAAGTTTTGGATTTTTTGTCACAAGTGATTTTTGGTCACTGACGAATTTTGGTCACTATAATGTTATTGGTCACTGTGGCGTTATTGTAGCACTAATGGGTGAGATTCTATTAAAATAAGTGTATAATAGTCTCCTAACCCATTTTTAGTCTCATTTTTTGGAAAATTGAAAAACAGGTCCCTTTTTTGTCCATAGTTTTTTTAGTATTATTTGAGACATAAACACCAACGTCATCCATATTTGTGACAAAACATATAGCGCGTGTATACAAAACAGTACACAAAGAACTTTTATTTTTGATCGGACTTATTGATGTGCTACTCGCTGTTATGGACGTATAAAGAAGAGAGAAAACATTCATAACGAACCAAGAAAGTCAGAATAACAGAGAGAAGATGGAGAAGGGAGGAGTATTATTACTTCAGCAATATTCATTACAGTTCGTGCCCTCTTTCTTTATACATCAGCTAACGACTCAACTAACAGTTCGTTAGTAAGAATAAGGCTATA